CTTATTACTTGTATACCTCTTAGAGTCATTTTAAGCTTCTAACAATTATCTAAATAAGAATACTGAAAAAAAAAATACACAGTACTAAAAAAAAAGGTAACTAAAAAATTACGTGTACGAATATTAGTGGTAAGAAGACAAAACTGGTTACATGCTACAGTTAAAAATTTAACCGATAAAATGCCACTTCTTAAATGAAAACTACTTTCACGAATCAATTTAAAATCTGAAGCTGGTTTTAGTGTTACAAATTTTTTTTTTTTCGTATTTTTCTTCAATTGATCAGCTTAATTTAAAATATTTCCTACCAAGCTTAAATATGCGAAAAATATTGTTTTAGCTTGAGAAAAATGTTTGTGGTAATCTTGAGGTTCAAATAAATACTAAGGTATACTTAATTTGATAACAAGATAATGCTTTATTGAGGATATATAACGTGTGATCATAACAAAAGTCGGAACCGGACTGCTTGTCGATCTGTAACTACCCCTTATCTAATGATAGTTATAAACGACTCACCGATTTCCTAAATGGGGGGGGGGGAATGCGGTTACACTAGTCATATTTTTGAATATCGTAACCTCCCCCACCTCACAAAACATATTAACATTACACTTATCTATTTTTAATTGTTTTTTTATTTATTTTTTTTCATTTTTTTTTATTTTGTATGTGCACCGATCTGCGAATAATCGGTAAATTTGATTCAGTAACATCTGTTTTGTTTTCATTTTTGCTTTCCCTTGATTCCTTGCCACACGCTCGCATTTGATTACAGTGCCTCTTCCACACAGTATTCGAGTCTATAGATACTTGATAAGTAACATTTGGTACTACCTCGCGCACGATTCGACCACGGATCCAAGACACTTTGTTTGCCTTTCTGTAATCAGTAACCATTACTGGATCACCGACCTCAAAGCTCACGTATCTTTGTCCGGTATGTGCTATGACCTGTCTATTTTGGTGCGAATAAATCAAACGTTCAGGCTCTCTCGGCCGTAATAACGAAAATCTATTTTGAATCTTACGCCAAAACATTAACATAGCCGGTGTTTGATTTGTTGCGCTGTGAGGGGTGCTCCGGTAATCAAACAAAAACTGCTTTATAGCCTCATTTAAATCCAATCCACTGTTAATCATACATTTTACTTTTCGCTTAAATGTGTCAACTAAATTTTTCGCCGCTCCGTTAGTCGCTGGGTGATGCGGCAGAGTTGTACTGTGACGGATTCCTGCACTCTGGAATAACTTTTTACATTCATCCCCTACAAAAGTTTTAAAGTTATCTGTAACCACATGAGCCGGATACCCAAAACGTGTAAAAACTTCCTTAAACACATCCGTGGTAGCCTTTTCTCCCTTGTTTTTCGTTACAAAAGCTTCTGGCCACAAATTCACGCAGGATTAATTTTAAAAATTTTTCTGGAACTACCACTCTATGGCACCACAATAAGCAATTGCTTTTAATCGTTAAAACTTCTCGTTTGTTCCAGAAAGTTTTTAATTCTTGTTCACTCGGTAATTTTTCTGGCCAGCTATCTAAACAAAATGCATTACACGACACAACAAAGGATCCGTGCGTGAGCATTGTTGCACTGTTTTCCAGTTTAAAGTAGCAAAATCGTGTGATTTAATATTATTTATGTTTACGCTCGATAAATTTTCTAAAATGGCCGTACCTTTACGTTCAATTTTAGTATTTTTTGAAGGCAGACGACTAAGCCAATCTGCGTAATTTTTATCGCCTTTTATATGTTCAATTTTATATTGAAAAGCAGATAAAAATATGGCCCATCTCTGAATCCGAGACGCTGCTATCTAAAGAATTGATTTTTCTGGATGAAAAATATGCGATAAAACAGCATTATCTGTTTGTAATGTAAATTTATTTGCAAATAAATATTCGTAAAAATATTTTACTCCAAATATAATTGCAAGGCCCTCACGATCTAATGTGAGTAATTATGTTCAGCTGTGTCTAATGTACGACTTGCGTAATGGATCCGATAATCATTTCCCTCAATACGATGCGATAATACCGCTGAAATCTCGCAAGGTGATACACCGCATGTTAAAATCAATTGCTTTTCTGGATCAAAATGAATTAAAAATTTTTTAGAAGACAACTCGTATTGAATATTCTCATATGCTAAATCACACGATTTTGTCCATTCAAATTTATTTATTTTTAAACAATCGTACAAAGGGTGCATCTTTGTTGCCAAGTTTGGTACAAAACGTGAATAATAATTTATCGAACCTAAAAAACTACGGAGCTGTGATACATTTTCTGATTTTGGGGCTTCTCTTACGCTTTTTAGATTTTTATCTATTGAGTGGATACCGTGCTTGTCCAGTTTGAAACCAAGATAAGTTACTTCATCTTGTAAAAATTTACATTTATAAAAATTTAACCTCAAACCCGCTTCATTTAATCTTCTAAGAACTTCTCTTAACCGACGTAAATGTTCTGCTACAGTTGAAGCCGCGATAATCACATCGTCTACGAAAATCACTACCCCCGATATCCCTAATAATACTGCAGATAAAATTCTTTGAAAAGACCCTACGCCTGTAGAAACACCATATGAAAGTCGCTTGTATTTGAACAGACCCAAATGTGTAGTAATTACTACCAATTTTTGCGACTCTTCGTCCAGCGGTACTTGCTGATATGCCTCAGTTAAATCAAGTTTTGTAAATTTATCACTATTTCGTTATTCAAAAAAAATTTCATGAATTTTTGGAGATGGAAAATAATCAAATTTTAGAACTGGATTTAACGTGACTTTAAAATCTCCGCAAAGTCGAACGTTCCCATTACTTTTCAACACAGGTACAATCGGTGTGCCCCAATCACTATATTCAACCTCTTTAATTATATTATTCTGTAATAATCGTTTTATTTCAGCTTCGACTTTACCCCGTAATGCCAATGGTAGTTTTCGTGGATGCATAAATTTTGGTCGTGCCTCTAATTTAACTTGCAGTGATAACTTCCCTTTAGTAAATAATCCAAACCTCTCTTTAAAGACGTCTGGAAACTCTTTTTTTAAACTTTCAACAACTTTAACTTCTTGTTGTTCTGTAATCATAAAAAAACTTTGCCCTGAACAGTGTAAAGGCCACATACCCAATTTACTCATCCACTCTCAACCCAACATAGGCGTCTGCCTCTTTTCAATTATAAACAATCTTTGATTTTCGGCTTCCTTATTATTATATAATCTTTGTATTGATACTTCAATCTCCCCTATAGCAGGGATGCTTTGTTTGTTGTACGCAGTTAAGGTCATTGAAGGTTGTTTTATTTTTATCTCATTAAAATATTTCTCACAATATTCCCGCGAAATTGCTGATACTAAACCTGTATCTACTTCCATACGAAGAGGTATATTGTTTACAAAAATACTTTCAAAAAGTGGAGGTACGGATTTATCATCGATAATAGCATCATTTGTGATCGAAAAAAAATCACTCGAAAATCTCGCTTCGCTTTCCTCGGCGCCGCTTATACTATTATCCCCAACAGTATTGTCGTTTAACTCATTTAAAATTTCAATCTCCTCAATGTTCGTAACGTGATGTAACTGTGACTTATTGCTTATCTTTTACTTGATGTTTGTATCCACGAAGTTCTTCCTGCTTTAATGTCCTTTTCGAGTAACTCCCACGTTAATTTACCCATTTACCATATAAACTTTGTGTTTAATTTTCTTACACGTAACTTTGTGTTTAATTTCACACTAAACTTTTCTCCTCGTCGCCATTTTTGTGGTAATCTTGAGGTTCAAATAAATACTAAGGTATACCTAATTTGAAAACAAGATAATGCTTTATTAAGGATACATAACGTGTGATCATAACAAAAGTCGGAACCAGACTGCTTGTCGATCTGTAACTACCCCTTATCTAATGATAGTTATAAATGGCTCACCGATTTCCTAAATGGGGGGGGGGGAATGCGGTTACACTAGTCATATTTTCGAATATCGCAATATTATTTTGTTTTAACAAATTATCGTGTGACAATGATAAGAGCTTATTGAAGTTTAAAAAGAGATAACTTTCAATGTAATTACTTTTTTTTAAAAAAGAGTCAGTAGAAAATATAAATTCACTATCCTCTAACTGGCTTCAAATTTTAAACCTCATTCAAAAGTTGTTACATTTTGTTTGGATATTGGCTTGGTGAAGGGAGGTAGGAGAGCAGTAACGTTGGTAACATTGCTGTACCCATGTAAGGAGAGAGCGAGAGAGACATAGCCCGTGTATCGAGTCAGTTGCCATCTACTTACCAAAGGGATCCGGCGTACCTGCTGCTCTGAGTGCGACGAGGCCAATCAACTTATTCTAACGAGTGAGCCGATCATTTTAACAAGCCTTAAAGTAGTGTTCCTCTCTCGCTGTCTCCCGTACAGCAAAAAAAGGAGGATTAAATCTATTAGTTTCGTTCTTTGTTTGTAATCGCGTTGAGCCTTACTTTTACACTTATTTTATATCGGAATAAAAGAGTGCACAAGAACCACAGTGTAGTTTGAAGTGAATAAATTCATCTTTTGAAACGAGCTCCAGAACATCATTAACCCTTAATTGTTCTCCTATCTCTCTATTTCTGGCTTCAAAAAACTTATACAGTCCACTAAGTGAGTCGAGGGGTTCAATTCAACCATAGTTATAATAGTTTAAAATATGTTGGTTAAAAAAATTAATGGTTTTTGTTTTTATCAGGGGGGAAAATCATAATTATTAAGTATAAGATTCATCATGCAATATTTCTGATTAATTCTTACTATCATAGTTCAAAGTATGCCAACAATATTAATACTCATCGTTATTGTACGTTATTTCAATTAAAGTTCAACAAAATGCCATGGAAAAAAATGTTGCATTTGAGATAGTTAACTCTAAAGATAACACCTATTAAAACGAAACTATAGATAAAGACATTTTCTACTTATGAGCTAAAATAATTAAACATTATTATAATCTTCTAGGCGTAGACCATCTTGGACGGATCGAATTTTATATAAAGTCAATGAAAGTGTTCATGAAGATACAAAGTTAAAGGCTATACAGTACAGTTACAGAAGTCATCCTTGCTATGTACAATCTGATCACAAACCGGTTACTGGAGAGTTTGATATTGTAATTAGATCAAACATATCTTTCAATCGAATCGAATTTGATCCAGTAATTGCGTGGTACATTGATGAAGAAAATTTTGTGACGTACAAGTTTGTCGGTGATATAAAATCACATAGTGGTGACTGGATAGGACTGTATTATGAAGGATTTTCTAGTTTTGATGAGTATCTTGCTTATGAATACGTGGAAAAAGGTAAATAGTTTTGTATCTTACTTTATAAAAAAAAAAAAATGGTAGTAATTAAGTATACATATTCATAGAGTTATGTGTTTGAGATGTCAATTGACAATAATGGGTGATCTTACTAATTGTTAACCGTGCACAGCGTGATTTATAATTAAATTTTTCTAGAAATAATTACAGTACATGTATTGACTTGTACCTGAATACTGAGATAAGCATTGTGAGAAAAAATATCAGAAGGGTGTGAAATATTATTAAATTTCAAGGAAGTAACATCATACTTACTGTATTACAAAAATTACTGGATATCGTAGACTAATCTCAAAAGTGTCATAATGAACCATTATGAAGCTTGGTTTCCAGCTACAGTTAATTTAGTTCTTCTTGACAAACAACTTTTACTCATTAGTTAGAACACAACGTTTTTTGATGTATGAACGAGAAAATACTTATGTTAAAGTTTAACTTTGAAATTTTTTTTTTTACTTATTTTAACTTTTTACTAGCTTTCCTTGTATATGTACAAGTAGCCCATAGCCACTCCACTTCTAAAACTAGCTTTTTGAAGTAGAACGAAATTCAAAAGCATTGCTTAATATTGAACAAATAACTGCATTTTTTAAAAGAGTTTAAAGTATGGAGTCAGTTCGGCCAAAAATTTTGGCCATTCACATGGCAATCTAAAAGGCTATCAGCCTGACAAAAAAAATAGATGTGCCCAATACTTTTTTACAGGCTGCCACGTAAGTAATACACACAAGGAAGAATGCAAAATTTAATGGTTGTCTCCTCTCTTTTTTCCTCTCTCTTTCTCTCTCTCTCTCTCTCTCTCTATACTCATACTTTTTAGACCTGCATAGGTTAATGGCTGATAGCACACGCATTTTTGTTAATCCTGTGTATTTATATCTAGCTCGTTTATTTTTACCTCCGTTAGAAGTTTTTACTGGGTACCTTCTTTCTCTGAAATTATCCATGCTTTACCCTGGTCATTTGGTATCATAAGCTTCCTGGTTTTTTAATAACATTATTCGTCCATATAAAGTGTCCATAACCTTGCATGTCATGAACGCCTAACTCTTGCTTAGTCTAGTTGTCGTACTGGTTGACGTATGGAGATGGGAATCACTGTACTTCAAATAAGTAAGATCATTATATTTTGGATATTATTCAGCAAGCTATGATCCCATTAGTTGTCAGAAATATCTTCTTAAAGAGGATGGGGTAGGATTATTAGGTGTTTGTCGACCGAGGGGCCATCTTGCTGTAGCATTATCTCTTTCAATTGGGTGAGAATAATGATACTATTGTGGTTGTATTACGGTTTGTCTAGTGGTACTGCATGCGCTCATATCATGGTCATGATCGACCTTGTTACCGTCTATCATTGTCAACTTGGAATTTATATCCCAGCGCTAGTGCTGAACTGAGTTATGGGCTTACGATTTCAAAGAAAAAAAAAAAAAAACTGATAAATTAAGAAATGGTCAATCCCATGTAGTAGAAAAAAAAAAATTTATAAAAACATATCTTAAACCTGCTATAGCTGTTTTTTTTAATTGATAACAGGTTGAAACAAAAACTAAAAAGTTGAAAAATGGCTTATTCATTGTGGTGGACATAATCACGTTTTTTCTTTAATTTGCAAAATTATTATCATTTACAACAATGAGGGTATAGTACAAACTAAGTTTACTATAAATCGTTTTCAATACTGATGAATACATGTTATAAGGGCAAATTATCCGTGACATGAATTGCATACACGAAATCTGAAATAGTCGCTCAAACATGGCTAAAAAAATAATAACAAAAACTTTTTTTTGTGAAACTGCAAGGTTTTATACTAATATATTTTAATATGAAGTATTTAAATGAATAAGTTATTGAAGTAACTGATAAACCTCTGATTCTTTATAAATTTAAAAAATTTAGTTTTCTTCAGTTTTATGTATAGTATCAGTTGTATGATCTTCACTTTGACTTTAATCATTGATTTTATTATCATCAGCTTAATCACTGTAATAAGAATTAATTGAAGTGTGAGAAAATTGTTAATGGTTTTGTTTAAGCTAACTGGCCTGCTATAAATCTAATATCTAAAGTTGCATCCGCACTATTCATTTTTTTCTTTTTGTTGATTAATTCTTATGAAATTTCATAGATTACAAAAACGAGTCGTGAAACGTACCTGTATCATATGTTTAAAATATGTACACTTTATGTACATACAGTTGTAAGGAAAAATTTTTTTCGTGAACTATTATGAATATTTTTATGCATAAGTTATAAGTAATCTGGTTTTCAGGAATATCACAATTTTTAATACCGCCATTTTTGATGGTTAGCAAAAACGTTCAAAAACTTTTATCTATTGATCTCAGAGTAATTAAGAATTAAAAAATATTAAAATACGCCCACAAGTCTCATAATTTAAGTGTTTTAAATATTACTTTTGCTATACACTTTAGTCACTGTTTTCAATTACTCGTGAAATTTGACGGAAGTCTCAACCCAAAACTTAAAGTTGATGTTGTCGTGTAATCACCTTTAGTCAATATGTACATGCGTACAGGCACACTTAACATACGGTATACATTATAATGTACTTTGACTATATAAATATATACACATATATATGTATATATCTTCCTATATTATATAGTCACAAGAGTTAGAGCGCGGTTTCGCTCCCCCCTACCTCCCCCCCAAATAAGGTAGTTTTTCTTTCATTTTCTTTCATTTTTCGAGTAATCCTTCTTTTTCTGTTAGCTCCCCCCCCGCTTCCCCCCACCTCCCCTCTGCTCCTCTCCAGCTCCCCCATACTCCCCCCAGCTTCCCCGTACATAATGTGAATAAATTTGTAAGGCCTTATATAATAACTGTTACAAATGGTCTAATTTTCACGTATAATTTTATTTGAACATAACAAAAAATTAAAAAATTTTTTCACAATTAACTTACTTACGATGTTTATTTTGATGACATACTCTAAAACGTCTCTTTAGGTGCTCTGCCTTTACATAACCTTTCCCACAATTTTGACAAATATTTTTTTGAACGTTTTTTTCAGGACTTTTTAAATGTCTCTGTAAGTGATTATTTCTTTTGAAACATTTCCCGCATTTAATACAATTAAAAGTTTTCTCAATGTTTTGGCATTCTTTTGTGTGACACAAATAGTTTTTCTTTTTCAATATTATAATGCTACATAGATCACGTACAAAAAATTTTTTTTCGTGAACTTTTTCGTGCGATGATAGACACTCTTAATTTGAAAACTTTGAGTTACATTTGTCACACTGATAAAATTTTGCATCCACGATGGTGTATCTGAAAACACATCACATGAAAAAAATTGTTTATAATTTCATAAATCTGGGTACTAGATGGTACTGAAATTTCCTTTTTTGATGAAAGAAAAAGTTTGCAAGAAAGTATAAAAATAGTAATAAACTATGGAATATTTTTTTTGTTACTCTAAAATTTAATTCCAAATAATATTTTCAATTACAAGTTTGTTTTCCGATTCAATTCGGATACAATCTTTTTTTGGGTTTCTACATCTAGACAGTGCAACATATAATTGCTCATGATAAAATAATGGTTTTCTAAGGTATAATCCTAAGGCATCAAAACTTTGACCTTGAGATTTATTGATAGTCATAGAAAAAGCTAAGGTAAATGAAAATTGTTTTCTGTACAATATAAATGGTAGCGAAGAAGAATTGTTTGTTTGTAGTGTTATTCTTG